GGGTATTTAATGTCTTTGGGTATCTGGTTGTATAGTTTAGGTATCAGATACTTAAAGAGTTCTTTTTCCATAACTGTTGTATGTTAATGGTATTTGGTACTTTGGATTTCTTGTTTTGTACCCATTTCGTGCATCAATTTTGAATTTATTATCATTATTGTTCCGAATTATGTTGAGGTACATGTAGAATCCTTTTGGTGTTAGAGTGTTGTAGCAAGCTGGCAGGTCACACTGGCTGAGATTTCTCTTCTTGGCCATTATTTTAATACTTTAGCCTGTATATTATCCAATTTGCTTAAGTATGTTTGGCATGCACCACCCCAGGCTTGCACACCATATCTCAGTAATGATTCAAATAGAGAGGTATATACAATTTTCAAAATTTGTTCATTTACAAAAGTCTGAATTGAATACATACAGCCAGCTAGCTATCATTTTTACTTTGTCGAACAGGTAATTTGTGTGCAAGTTATATCTCAGGTACTCATCCAAAACAACTCCTAGATATGAGTAATGTGTTACTTAGTCTATCTTGATACATTTATCACTACATCCAATGGTTGTGCATTAATAATCATGCAGAGTTAATTTTTCTAATTTTAAGTTTTTACGTTTTTTTCGAGTTTTGAAATGAATTACTTTGGTTTTCACAGGATTAGCATACAAGTTGTTTTCATATGACCAGTGTTATATGAACATATGTTGTTAAACTGTTGTGTAACAACATATGTTGTTAAATTCTGTTTGTGGTTGGTCTTAACATTTGTTTATGTCGCTATTAGAGTACAAAAGAGCAGCATCATCTGCATATATGTAAAGTTTGCAATTTTCTATGTTTTTAAATATGTTGTTGGCATATATTAAAAATACTAATTATTTAATTAATAATTAATTAAAAATATAAAAATAATAGTAATAACAGTTATAATAGTTATAATAGTTATAATAGTTATAATAGTTATAATAGTTATAATAGTTATAATAAAAAGAAGAAGAAATTACAGCATTTTTACAATATTGTTTGCTAATTTTATTGGTAAAATTCTATGCAAAGCTAGGGTGAAATTAAAACACACAAGTATTTGAGCTGAGAGGCGGAAAGGATTCTAAATTGGATGATGAGACATTTCTCTTCAAAATTACCGCTGAGAAGTGTTACAGTAGAACTAGGTTAACTGGAGATGCCTCAACAGCACGAACTTTCTCGCGTCAGTAACGGTTACGTACCGATAATATTATAATACGGCAACTTCTGTCTATATTACTACATCTCGGTCATCACTTGTAAAACACATTACAAATCGTAGAGCATTAGGCCTTAATAGAAATTATATCAAAGCTAATATCATCACCATCACAAATTCGGCAATTAAAACTAGGTCTCATTCAGCCCTAAACATGTCCCAACAATTAGAAGGAAATATCAGAATTCCAAACTGACGAATTACGATGCAGTAGTGTCAATGAATTGCAATCACATATCTAATTAAGGACTTTGTCATTCAAAAGAAGCCTTTGAAAAAATCATCAAATCTCTTTTGAAGTTTCGACTCGCCTGAATTAAATTTTAACGACTATATTGTGTTGAACCACAAATTTCGAAGTAAAAGAGTGAATTCTCAATTTCTCGCAACACATCACTGACGCTCTGTTTTCTTCAGTCTTCCGCATTATGTGACAGAGAACACACGTAGAACAAGGAAAGACAGTTTGCTTCTTATTCTCCTTTGACCGAACTCCAGTCTCGCAATTAGCGATTTAAAAAAAAATCAGCGCTCTAGACAGTTGCCTTTGTTCATTTACGTATGTTCTTTTAATAGCTATGTTGGTTCGTTTCCGTAGATTGTCTATAATTTGAAGTGTGATGACTCCAGAAAACGTAATACATGGGAGAGTTTTACCAAACTTACAAATAATTTAGTGAAGCTTAAACATTGCGGATTGTAGCTAAATTCAGATAACAAAATACGTAAAAAAAAGTTGCATCTTTCAAAGCTTCCACAGAAAAACATCCATAGATCAGTGGATGGAAAAGACAATCAAGTCCTACCCCTGCCAACGTTTCATTTTATACCCTCTTTTTAACGCGAACAATTTTGTCACTTTATCAACATACAAAGCCTGGTACGAGTGAAACCATCTCGAAAGGATGAAAGAAAAAAAAACGATTGAAGGATGTTGCGTCGGTTGCTGTAGACCCACGTTTCTATGGGAGAGACTGACTGGAGTTCGTAAGAAATAGATACCCGAGTGTAGTTGAAGATATTTGAAGTGATAGTATGGTTTCAATACCCCCAATAGTAGCGGCTTCAATAGATTAGAAGATTGACGAAACCTTGGGAAAAGTATTTGATCAAATTAATTAGTGGTTCTAGAAAGCGGAACAAGATATCTGCCGAGCAGGTAATGGTTTGCCGATTGATTTGAATACAAGAACTTACGAACAATATATTTTCTTTGTGTTGGAACTTTCAGTGTTATTTGAAATTGTCTTCAGAGAGAGGAAGTCGGACAGCGTAGTTGGTGTAAGTTGTTGAGTGTAAAACAGCGGCAGCTGAATTTAGTGGATTGTTTGATTAGTTGATGTGATTCCGTACGCGTCAACTACTGAGGTTAGTAGTCTCTTAAGTGTAGTGAATGTTTTTTTCCTCGGGGTGGCTGTGCTAGTCCTCCGCTGGATGGCGAGATCCGGCGCCGACCTGCCATCGGCTAGTAGACTTTTCCCCAACCAGGTATCTCCCCTCGGGGCACCGCCCCAGCCGGGATGGCCCTTAGAGTGCATGTTAGCGTAAGGGAGAGGATAGAACAAGATGATAGGACAAGGAAGGGGAAGGAA